ATGTTTATTAAATAAAGTCTAATGTTACAACTAATCAGGGATCCCTTTTAGAATATTGTGCAAAACTTCAGAGAAATCATCTGTATGAAAAATGTCATCTGTATGGTGTCATACAGATGAATTGAAATAAGAATAAACTAAGTGATGCAGGTGTTTCTGATACTGTCCGACTGTTTTATGAGGAAACTGTCCTCCAACCAGCCAGTCGAGACAGATGGTCTCCTGTCCTGAGCCTGGTTCTGCTGGAGGTTTCTTCCTGATTAGCAGGGAGTTTTTCCTCTCCACTGTTTGCTCAGGATGGGAGACTGTGATGAAGTGATTCAACACAATCTGCTGCTTTCTTCTTTAGATTGTTCTGTTTATGCACAGTGCCCTGAGACAACGTATGTTGTGACTTGGCGCTATATAAAGAAACTGAACTGAACTGAATTGAATAGAATTGAATTGTGTAGGAATCCTCACCTGTCTGACCAACAGCAGTCACAGCATATAACAGTTTTTATTACTTTCTGAAAAACACTGACCTGCAGCTAGAGGCAGACCAACAGAACTTTTCCCATAAATGATGATCTTTAGAGATCAGGGCAGCTGATATACAAAACCTACTTTTAAATTTTAGGTCAATATGCATTTATCAATACAACTACAACAAAAATTGCTTAACTAAAATATATATTCAACAACTCTTAGAAGAACCTACACACCTAAAAATAACAGGAAAAGAGCAATCTCTCTTCAAATATAAAGAAAACTAGAGAAATTGCATTTCCTGCGAAAATGTTAGTGTGAATGCTTCTTACTGAAAACTGTAGCTGAAAGCTGCTGAAAGGGAGCTGAAAATGTTTAATAGCAAAACTGTTAATGCAAGTTCAATTTGAAAAGCTGAAAGAAGCATAAAAAAGGCAGAAATTAACAGAAGAATTACAGAGATGAGCAAAAATATAGGTGAAATAGCAGAAAAAAAGCTAAAATTTGCATTAAAATAAGCTAACGGTAGCAGCCACAAGTTGTAATTAGCACACAGATGTTGAAAGTTTTGTAAAAGATTAACAGACAAAAAGCATAAAAAGTACTAAAAAGTAATAATCTGTTGTAAAGTAGCTAAACAGCCAAAATGTGCAGTAAAACAGCTAAAATGTGCAGTAAAACAGCTAAAATGTGCAGTAAAACAGCCAAAATGTGCAGTAAAATACCTAAAATGTGCAGTAAAACAGCTAAAATGTGCAGTAAAACAGCTAAAATATGCAGTAAAACAGCTAAAATGTGCAGTAAAACAGCTAAAATGTGTAGTAAAACAGCCAAAATGTGCAGTAAAACAGCTAAAATTTGCAGTAAAACAGCTAAAATGTAGCTGGAAATTCTTGAATTAGCGTAACGAAGCATAAGGAGCACAAGTTAGCTGAACTTAAAAATAAATATAAAGCTACTTTACTTTATTGTACAGAAGAGAAGGGATTTAACTTAAATATGAGGTTTTTTGTTCCTTTCATTCTTCTGTATTAGGTTATTATTATCCTTATTGATATTGGTTATTGTTATCTTAGTATCATTGTAATCATTAGTTGTTGTTGTTTTTTCACGGTGGTCATTTAAGATCGTCATCAGTATTACTTTATTATTAATATGAAATTATATATTTTCTGTTTTTCCTGTGTTATGAGTGAGTTTGTAATCATTTTGTCTGATTAGTAATTTGTTTGTTGGCAGAGTATGTTGAACAGGCAAGAAATAATCATAACATGGTTTCAGCTGCACATTTATAAATCAGTGCATCTGCAAGTAAAACACTTCATTAAACTGAGATAAGGGGCAGGATTAAATGTTTTCTCCTTTTCAAACAGAAAAGTGGTGGTTTTTGGGTTCTTGGTTATGTATGCATATGTTTTATCTTTTTTCTACTGATTGCTTGTTTTTTTTAACTTTTTTAAATCTGTTTGAAATATTTTTTAAATAAAAAATAAAATAACTTAGCAAAAATAAGTTGCAATAGCTGCAATTAAATGTGTATTTAGCTTAAAAATGATTACTTCAGCTAATAACAGCTGAACATTAGCTAAAATTGTAGCAAATAGCTGAATATAGCAGAAAGCAACTGTAAGAAGCAAAAATAATCTGAAAGAAACACAAAAAAGTAGAAAATAGCAAAAGAATAGCAGAAACAGAATTATAGCTGAAATAGCAGAAAAAAAAGTTTAAATTAGCACAAGGAAGTAAAAAATTGCAGAACCAGAAGAAAAGCTGTAAGGTGCTGTAAAGATTTATAAACATTTTGAAGGATTTTAAGGGTGATGAAAACAGCTCCACTCATTTTCAATGGGAAAAGTGTGTCTGAAAAAGTGAAATAGCTAAAAAAGAATAAATAGCTAAAATACCAAAAGTCGTATTAACGTTTTGATATTTAAATTGTTGGACCAGAACATCTACTCAGATTTAATTATACACAGGTGGGCTCTGACTTCTAAGGTGGATTTTCGTTTGGGGTCTGTAAGACCTCATTTTGTAATAACAACACATTATATAATAATATAATAAAATTAGGCTTCAAAATATAATGAACTCACACTGAAACTGCATTATGTAATAAATGACACAAAATGTAATAAAAGTCTTCAACACATTATGTAATAATGTTATTACATTTTGCGGCAATTATTACAAAATGTGGTGGTGTAATTAATAATCTGGTGCTTTATGTAATAAACTATTAAAAACCAGTATTTCTGTTCATCCTAATCAATATACTTGTAATAACTGTCATGTTGCAAATACTACATAAGTAAATGTTTATAACTTTGGTGAATAAACACAGAACTTCTCATCTTTTATTTGCATTTTCAGTCAAATTCTTGTGTATATGGATGTATGGAGCAATCTCACAGATTTTTTCATGTTTTATGGAATCTTTCAAAAACTTAGTTTCTAATTTATTCAACATGTCAGAGCCTGTAGGACGTTAAAAACAATGATTAACATCAAATATTCACTTCCAGCCCACTCTGTTAGAAACAAGTTCTTCAACCCTCATTTCCTTCTGAGACAGAAGCTGACAGTCCACCTGCACCGCCCCCCCTCTGCGGCTGATGGTCCACCTGCACCGCCCCCCCTCTGCGGCTGATGGTCCACCTGCACC